CTCAGTGATCATTCCCATAACCCACATGGAAAGGCATATGAAAAAATATCAATATTTGATACCTCTTTAGTTGTCTCCACTCGATATCCAAAAGTAATTTGCTCGTAGCACCCAGCTACCAACACCACAGCAGGATCCATGGTGAACAGCCCACGTGTGCGCCCTGTCTGGGTCCTTCCCAGCAGCTACGCCGAGCAAGCGACCGAAGTGCTGCCTGTTTCATTATAGACACGAGAAAATTAAACACTTTAATTAAACCGTCATCCATCTGTCATTTTTAATTTATATATTCATTACGGGTTTTTCTATATCTGAAGAGAGTCTAAACGAAGGAAGAAAAATATAAAAAAGACTAAATTTACCGGCAATGATAGCGAAGACTGCCGACAGTAAAGTTTCAGGCCTTCTTAATAAAAACATTGTAGCCTTTACCAGATAGTGTACTGTACTGTTTCTGAAGATTGCCGTTAATGATCATTTGCACGGCTATATGTTTTGTTAAAGAATAATTCCAGAGGGAAATAAAACAACAGCGAAATGTTTAACAGGATGGCAAGCCTGTGGATGGGTGATGTTAGTTCATTGTATTATTTACTGAAATGAAGGGACAACTGTATTTCACAATGTAGATTGATTTCTGAGGGATTTAATGAAATATGCCTTCGCTTAGTCCAGTTCGCGTTTCAACAGCACCCTACCGTATACAAAAGTCCGTAATGTATGGTCTTGATTGTTTTCACGAAATACGTGTTGTTGTGTACTTCGGGAGTGACTGTAACTAGCTGTGTACTCGCTCCAGGTAACGTAATGTGGACGTTTTGAAAGGCTGACAACTTGTTACAAACTTGACAAGCCAGGCGCCGGCTGTAGCGCTGTAATCGGAGGGTTTGCTTCAGAAACCAGCTCTAGCAAATGTGTTTTGATCTTCCAGTGTGCGTGATTTGGATGTGTCTTTGCGATGCACTAACTTGATCTCCTCTTATTAGTTGGACCCGTATATGGATGAGAATTTTATCAAGCAAGCCTTCAGTACGATGGGAGAGACAGCTTATGGCGTTAAAATTATCTGTCACAGAGTCACGGGGTGAGTGATCGTATCGCTTTGTTAGATTTTAAAAGGTGAAGACGTTTTCCAGGGGTTTTACCGTCTAATAATCACCAATCTGGGACTGAGTAATGTTAGACAGGCAAGCTGAGGACTTCTCGTCTGGTTAGTAATTAAGCCGTTGCTGTGTCGTTTATTTTGTGCAGCTCTTGCTTGTTGTAATATCCCTGTAAAAATGCAGGGATAAAACTCAGTGAACTTGGGGCCAGAGTGTCCCATGCCCTCTAAGGATACAGCGGTGAAATGAAAACGGAAGGATTTTGATCTCATCGGCACCAAACATGGCTTAAAACTTTTTTTGTTTTGGAATATGGAGTATACTTTATAATCCTAATGGAGATTTCTGTATATATATTGGGTACTGAATACGTACACGTACGCACTGTATACTCCTAAGAAACAGGTAACGGGTTTATTCCATGCTGAAAACGAAAGAAAGGAAACGCAACGTTTCGGCTGTGGAGCCTTCTGCTGGTGTATACACCTATATGATGCGTTTTAACCCCTCTTCCCTTAGTGGCTCCGCGGGGTATTGCTTTGTGGAGCTGGCGGACGAGGCCAGTGTGGACCGCTGTGTCCT